TTTGTTAAATTCGATTTTTGAAGTTCATATATCTGGGTATTTGTTTGTTTTTGTCTCTGTATTTGTAATTGTTTTATATATCTTGTTTGATTTATTTATGTGTTTTTGTTAATTTTTTATTTGTTGTTTTGTTGGTGTTGTTTCGTTTTATTTTAGGGCAAGGGTAAATCCCCTGTAAAGGTGTTGTCATCATCAGGTGTGGCTGAGGAAATTCCTGTTAATAGGATTGTTGAGGTTTGTCATGTTATGCATTCTGTTCTATTGTTTTTTTTTATTGTGTTTTTGTTTTTAGTTGTTATTTCGTAGTGTTTTATGGTGTTTTATCAGTGTTTTTTATTGTTCTGTTTTTTAGGATTGGGAATGCAAGTACACCCGATCTCAATTCTATCATTCTAGAGTAGTAACATCTGGGTATTACTCTGTACTTGGAGACATTAAAAGAATTCTAACTGAAAGCCAACTAGAAATTTTTTCAAAATCTGTGTTTGGTTATTTTCTTCGGATTCCGAGTACATAATTCATTACCAACTGCTTCATTGTTTGCTGTTGAGGGAGGTTCAGCAGCCTAATGGGTTGGAGTTTTGGGTTTGTGTCCAAGGGAAATACCTTAGGTTTAGTATCGAAGAGTTTGCGTTGGTCACGGGGTTAGATTGTCATGTTGATTCTGATTTTTATCAGTTTAAGCAAGATGATAATGAATTGGTCAAACATTGTTTTAAGGGGTACAAAAAAATTACCAAGGGTGCTATTCAGACTGCTTTTATTGCTGACAATCTTAAGGATAACGACGATCTTGCAGTCAAGTTGGCTGTATTGTATTTTGTGCAGTGTTATTTGTTAGGTGGTCCCCCGGGTAAAGTTGTTTCGTCTGAGGAAATAGATGTTGTCGATAGTGGTCGATATAATGAATTTGGGTGGGGCAAGCATTGTTTTGATATCACTATGCATTCTTTGAAGGGTAAGATAGATTCTGGTTATAAGAGGGTAGTTCGTAGTGACGAGGATGGTGGGTATTACAGGTTATTGGGTTTTCCTTTGGCTATTCAATTCTGGTTTTTCGAGTGTTGCCCGTATGTTATTGGGAAACTGTCGTTGTACTCAAATGTTGGCATTCCAAGGATTTTGAATTGGCCTAAATTACCCAAGGACAAGGAGGGTATGGTGAAAATGGATGTCATGAACACCCTCATTTTCGATCGGTCTTTGAAAGAGGTAATCCTGTTGTTTTTTATTACTATTTCCACTGTTGTTTTAATGTTGTTTTTGTATACATTATTTATACTTTATGTTTTTATTGTTGTTGTTATTTTATAATTTCAGTTTCATGTGCATATTGTTTTTTGTTGGTTTTTGTTGTTTCAGTTAAAATTAAGAAACCTCACTCCAACTTCCGTTGAGAGATTGAGTTTGAGCCTCACTGATTTTTTCTCTGGTGAGACTACTCCCGAGGCTGTGAAATTCAAAATTAAAGGTGGTTCCAAGCCTGCTGGTCAACCTGGCTTGATGGGTTCTTCTTCATCAACTGCTCATGAGAATGTCTCCCGAGTTGAGTTTGAGGAATTTAAAAAGTGTTTATCTGTTGTTGTCAGCCAGCAAGGGATTCTTATGAAATCTGTTGCTGAGATGAACAAGAAGCTGGACATTCTTATTGAGGTGTTTTTTTTTAATTGTCATTACTTTTTCTGTTATTTTTTTAGTAGTGTTTTTATGTTGTTTTATACAGTTACTTAATTTTTATTTTTTTGTTCTCAGTCATCCCAAGGTGGTCTACTCACAATGGATCTCAGTCTGAAGATGCTCTTCGTACTTCAGAAAATGAGGATGATGAAGATTCCACTTCGGAGGAAGACGAGGATGATAAATTCGACGATGACAAAGGAGATGATCATCATGACGATGAAACTGATGATGATGATGATGATCTGGGTGGAGATGGTGTTGGTGCTGGTCAGGATGAGGCTCACACGGGCGATGTTCGTAACGATGAGGGTGTTGTTGTCCCCGAGGTTGTTTCGAGGGATGATGATACCGGCAAGGTGGATGATGCCAAGAATTCTGACCCTGTGGAACCTCTTGCAGAGATCAAACAGGTGTATTTCTTGTTTGGACATTCATTTTTTTTGTGCTTTTTTGTGTGGATTTCTGTGTTTTGTGTTTGTTTTAATAGTTTTTTTACTGTTTTTTTTGTTGTCAGCCTGAACAGTCTCAAGGTGGGGAGGAGAACATTGATGTTGATGCAACAATTGCATCTGCTGTTAAAGCTGTGGAGAATTTGGTTTGTGTTTCTGTTTTTTTTTTGTAATTTGTATTTATTTGGTATTCTATTGTTGTTTTTATGGTGTTTTAATTGTACTGTTTGAAATTTAAAACATAAGTCTTTTTATTTATCCTTTCTCTTTTTTAGATTGGTTCCTCAACTCATGCCCCTGCTCCTGTTGAGACTTCTGAGAAGACTGATCTTGAAATGGTTGTTTTTCAAGAGACTCCTATTTTACGTCCTCAAAAGAGGGATCGGAAGAAAGGAGCTGTTTTGAAATCTCCATTCATTGAGCTTGCTTCTGGTGCATCTAAATCAGGTTCATCCTCAGTTTCTCCTGATGATTCTGTGTATAAGGTCGTTAAATATGTGCGTGGTTTGTGCCCGTTGGACAACAAGATTGGTGAACCTGTCGATCCGCAATTGGAAGCTGAGTTTGTCAAGTGGGTTGATACAGGTCTTAGAAAGCATAAATCTAAGTAAGTATTTTTGTAGGTGTTTTCAGTTGTATATCTGTTATTGTTTTCCATTTAGTTTTTTATTTTTTCATTTGTGTTTTGATATTTTTTTATTTGTTTTTTTTTTAGCACAACAACTAATGTGTATTGTAAGGGTAAGGACACTATATTTCCGCCATTTCGTTTTGGTGTTGAGGACATCAGCAACAAGATGTGGTTTCACAACCTTGCCTACCCTAATTGTTTCCTTACCAATTCTGTAAGTTTTTTATTATTATTATTATTATTTTACATATTATTTTTTTTATTTATTTTTTTTAATGTTTTTAAGTGTTGTTCTGTTAGTTTTTATAAGTTTGAATGTTTTTTCACTTACTTTTTTTTATCTGTTTGTTCAGCACATTGACATCATTTTCTATTATCTTCGTAAGAAAATAATGTACTCAGCCGAGCCGAAAATCAAAGTCACCACAACTGATTGCCTCTTTTGTTCTAGCATAACAACTTTGTATGAGAGGTTTGTTGAGAAAAACAACGATATATCGGTGTTGTCTCTTTCTCACAATGTGGCCCAGTACATTCAAGGTGGTAAGATATTATGTGCCACTCCTTGGCATTTGGTTGATCATGTTGTTATGCCTATCAATGTAAAATTACAGGATCATTGGATTTGTGGTCGTCTTAACATAGTTGACAGGCGGATATATCTGTACAATTCATTGCGTTCTGGGAGGTATATGACAGCTGCCAAAGAGGCTTGCAAGCCTTTCTCTGTTATTTTACCATATTACTTCTCTATGTTAGACTTCAAAGGCCTTCGCAACGAAGCTAAGTTTAGCACTATGGAACCGTTCCCTATTGTTGCTGTTGATGGTTTACCCGAGCAGGTCACAGCGTAAGTTTTATGTTTAGTGTTCAATGTTTTTCACTGGTTGTTTGTATTTTTATTTTTTGTTATGTGACTTTGTTTTTTATCAGTGTTCTCATAGTGTCTGTTTTTGTGTTTTCTTGTTTGTTTTTTTTCCAGTGATTGTGGTGTTTTTGTTGCATCATTTGCTGAGTATTTCATTGATGGCAAACCCATCCCATCCTCTGATTTTGATGTGGAAATTCACCGCGATCGTTTGGCTGTGTTATTTTATCAATATGGCATGAAGAAGCAACTTGAGAACATTGAAAGTGAATCCGAGGCCCCTCCCAGCCTTCCCAAGAAGTGATTTGTTTTTTCAATCAGACTGTCATTGTTCTTATAGTTTTTTAATGTTGTTTTATGTTTTTTATGTTGTTTTCGTAAAACAAACATTGGTGTTCTGTTATGTTTCCTTACGTTTTGTGTGGACAATATGTAATCTTTATTTTTGTATGTTTTTTCTTATTCTTCTTATGTACAAACAAGTTGGTATGTTAAAGTTGTTAGTTTTTTCATTTCACATCCCTTCTTTTTTTGTTTTTTTTTCTTATAGTTTCTCTGTTTTTTTGAATACAAATATTCATTTCAGTATTAAAAACACAAACTGTTTCAATAACAAACTTCATATATATATTCAATTTAGTATCCAACATCTTTTAATATCCAATCTAAAGTATCAACAATTCCCAATGTAATCAATGTTTTTCAAATAAAAACTGTATTCCCTTTGTATTTCAGAAATTTAAATTCCTCAATATCTAATTCTCAAAACGTATGTGTAGTTTTCTTTTGTTTTTCCACTGTTGTTCTGTTGTTGTTTTTATTCCCTTCTACGTCTTCTGCTGCATGTTCTTTTGTTATGCCCCAGTTCACCACATTTGCTGCACTTGTTGTGTTGATCCTTTTCCCATCCAGCCTTCCTTCTTAATGTTTTTGGTCTTCCTGATTTTACTCTTTCATGTGGAGGCAAGACTATAATATTCTTCACTTCTTCCGGTACCTCCCATTCACTTTGGTGTCCTATTGGGTAAACTGTCCCTGAATAAGTTGCCAGCCAATTTTTTTTTGTGTAGTAATCTGAACAGTAGGTGTACGGGTCCATGTTCATCTCCCTCATCACGGCCACTGCGTGCCCGCATGGCATTTCATCTATTTGGAACCTGTTGCACGTGCATGTTCTTTTTTCTAGGTCTACTTCCCACGATTCTTTCATTCTTGTTACCTCAAACAAGTAATCTGTTGTTGCTTTAACCTGTTTTAAATTTTAATTGAAAAAAAAAAAATCAAACATAGCTGTAATTCCTACAACAACAATACAAAACTATTAAAACAGCACTACAACAACACTACAACACTACAAAAAAAAAAAGCATAATTAATATTTTACCTCCAGATTCAATGAGTATGTGTAATTTTTCAACAGTATGTCTTCTCCAGTTGGTGATAGCTTAGTGAAGGTGTTGTGTGCTTTTGTCCTATTAGTATGCGTCCATTGTTGCACCAATGCTCTCAAGCATTCTAGCAGCGTTGTAATTGGTAGCTCCCTTGCTGCCAAATTTGCAGCGTTCAGTGATTCTGATATGTTTGAGGTCATTGTGGAATACCTCTTGTTTTGGCTATGAATTCTTGACCACTTTTCATACCCGATTTTTTTTAGGTAAGGTCTTATGCGTTTGTCCAATCCATCCAATTCAGCCATGTGGAACTCGAATTGCTTTTCTGTGTAGGCTTTGACTGCTCCAAAGAATGGCAGATTGTATTTGGCAGCATGTTGTTTGAAGCTTGTTTTAAGGTTGCTCAAAATGTGGTAACCGCAGTAACTGTGTGCAATTTCTGGATAGATTTCTCTTGCTGCTTTGATGAGGCTTTCATTCCTGTCTGAAATTAGGCATTGGTGTTCCCGTACCCCATACGCTTCTTTAAATTTTTTGAAGAACCATTTCCAAGATTGGTCATTCTCAGAATCTGCAACACAAAACGCTAGTGGAAAAATATGACCTGCTGCATCTTGTGTGCATGCGCACAACAAAGTTCCCCCATAAGCTGCTTTGAGGAACGTTCCGTCCACAACAACTATCGGTCTGCATGCTCCCCACCCTTTTATGGATGCATCCAACGCCATGAAAACAAAGAGCAAGCTGTTGTCTTCTGCCGTTTTCAGATCCACAAATGATCCAGGGTTTGTTTTTTCCACCATGTGTAAGAAACTCGGTATTAGGCTGTACGAGTCACTAGCATTACCTCTCAAGTCGTTTACTGCATGTTCCTTACTTCTCCAAGCTTTCATATAGTTCATTTTGATGCCATATCTGTATTTCAACTCCCCTTTTATGTCCATCGCTGTTGCCTTGGTCTTTATGTTCAAGAACTTCGGTTTTATGCATTCCCCTATCAGTTTCGATGTTGCTTGCCTTTGGTCTTCATGCCTAATATTTATGGGGCATGTGTGCATATTTGAGAACCTATTGAAACAAAAAAAAACAACAAAAAACAACATTAAAAAACTATTAAAACAAACCTGTTGCAGATACCAAACATGTGTATTTCAGTACAAATTGTGGAAAACAGGTCATTTGTTAAGGCTGACAACAAAAACAACATTAAAAAACTATTAAAAACCAACCTCCTGATTATGAATGTGTTTGTTGGCCCATTTCTCGATGCTCTTAGTGACCAATTGCAGCTTTCATAAACACATTTCAGACTGTATTCTTGAGAGCAGGACTTCCACACTTTGTACTGAAAGTTGTTTTTGATTGCGTAGTAGCTGAGGACATTTTTTAGAGTTTCTTTGTCTTTGTATGCCTGTCCTTTTTCCACTTCGGGGTGTTGCTTGTCTGTTATTAACTTTGCA